TGGCAGCAAACACATTCGTGTCTAACGAGGTATTCTACCCTGGGGTTCTTTTCTCTGCTTTCCTCTGTGGCTCCACACCCTCGCTCCCTTCGTGGATGGAAAGAGAACTTAGCTTATGGTTACTGGAATGTTATGTGTCTAATTCCCTCACTAGTCCCCTCAGGAGTCCCTTTAATTTCTGAATCCTCATCACTGGCCACAGCGTCTGACATATAGAAGGGCCTTCATAAATGTTTATGGAACAAATAAGACGTTTTTGTTCATTAAATATTTTGGTTAATAGTTACCATGTCAAACTCAGGTGACCCATTTCCAGAGAATCAGAACATAAAAAAATTAACCTTTGTGGTAGCTTAGTGTTCGACAATAATCCCTGCTCACCACCTCCACGGGAGTGCACTTCCCTGATGCTTGATTTTGGGCTCTGTGCAATGACTTGCTTGGGTCAGTTGGATGCCAGTGGAGGTGAAGCAGGCAGGGGTCTGGAATTGCTTGTACACCTGGGCTTCTGCCACTGTCATTGGAACATACTCCAGCCATGCTAATGGTCCAAGGAGGATGACAGACATTTGGAACATACTCCAGACCCAACCTGTTGCTTAGAGACATCTAGCTGAGCCCAGCTGAGATTAGCCCACCCCGTGGACCTGCAGAAGAGTCAGCAAAAAATACACGCTTATGTCCCTGGAGTTGTTTGTTATATAGCAATGACCAATGGATACAACCCTATACCAAAAATGCCCCAACTACAATTTTGCTGTCCTTTGTTTAGAAAGGTGAGTCACAGACTCTGGTTTCAGACTACCTCTACCCCTCAGTCTCCTCATCTGTAAAATCTGTAAAACTGTTACGAGGATTCAATGAGGGAATCCAAGAAAGCATATGGCGTGGCCCCTGGCACATGGGAAGTGCTCAGTGTGTGCTATTATTATGAAGTGTCCCTGTGTTGAATGGCACTGATCACTGGTGTGGGGATACACCAGTAGTAGAGAGCGCCACACAGCAGAAGGTCAAGGGACATTTACTGTATACTGATGTATGTCCTTTCAAAATGACCTAGAGTGAATTTCCCCACCTTCTGCCAAAGAGTTAAGGCACCACTGCCTGTTTATTACAGTCAATTAATTGGGGACGCAACTGTCCTGGTGGAGGTAGAATCAGTGTCCTCGTCTGTGTCCTGCGGTGTGAGAGAGGCTGAGATGTGGGTGAGAGTTTTAATCTGCTAACGCTGGGCTGTGGCAGGCTGCCAGCAGGACACTCAGCTCAGCGTTGCCTCCCTCTCATCTGTCGTCACTCCCCACAGACTCTCAATGCCACTGAATACTGACGGGCAAAACCTCTGCGACTGGAGAAGACCCAAAACCCAGGGCGAGAACAGCGACCACCAGCACCTGCCTCATGCGATCTCTTCACCTCCACATTCATCTCCCCTCCAGCCTACCCAGAGCAGCTCAGCTGTCCCACAGGATAAATCATGAAAATCTCTCTGTGCCCACAAAAGGTTAAGGGGAGTTATTCCAAACTTCATCTAATTCATATACTATGATGTCTCAACAAAGAGCCACGCGCGGGCGTAGGCTCTGAAGGTATCTCACATTTAACTAACGTGCCAGCTTCCAAACCCTTAGGATCTGGTGATAAATTCTGTGAATACGGGTGTTTGCACTATCCTCAGAGTATCAGGAAACTACTGATGTTTGTCTGGGGATTGCAAATGTTTCTGGAGGCCTGACTGAATCTCAGAAAATAGAAAACAACTTATCCCACATTACATAATCAGGCCGGGAAAACATGTTTCATATTAAAAAAGCAGCCAGCAATTTCCCCGCCTCAGACAGAGGTCTGGGTTTTTCATTTGGCCCTGGACCTGCTTAAGAATGACAATATTTTTAACCTCTCTGTATCTCCTCATCTCTCAAGCAAAGACACAGGAAGCTGCCCCCCGTGGCTGGCGTGGCTCTTTGTATACTGTACTGTGTCTTTCACTTGAGGGAGGATGAATAAATATCAAAGCGCAAGAATTATTATGCTTCTCAGAGAGGTTGGAAAGATCAATAAAATGTTTCTAGCACAAATAGGAAAGGAAAAGAAATACCAAGATCCTTAGAAGCAGGCTGGATCCATACAAAGGTATAGCATAACCAGCTGTATAATCAAAAAGGCAGTCCCTTTAGAGTCTATCATGCCTGTCCACACGCTCAAGTAATGCAAAGGTCCTTCTAATCTTTACCACAAACCTTTGGGCTCCTCTAAGAAGTGCTCCCAGCCCCAGCTTGGCCTCCCCTGGCATGTCTGGTCACCCCCCTCCCAGTACTCCTGAGCACTTATTCCACAATAACACAGTGACTAGGTTGAAGGAGGAAATGCTGGGGTTGTTGGAACTGTGGGCTGTTTATGAACGTGGCTGCGGAGCCAGTCAGACTTAGGTTCAAATTCTGGCTCCTCCACTTGACCTTGGGCAAGTAATATAACTTCTCTCAGTCTCAGTTTCCCCATCTGTAACATATGCCTCCATCACAGGTGGTCATGAGAGTTAAATGACAGATATACATATATATATCTGTACATGTACACGTGTGCCCAGCACGCAGTAAACACTCAGCAGAACTTGGTCAGATGGTAGGTGGGAGGGTGGGCAGCAGAACTGGCTTGATCGTCTGCGGTCACACAAAGCCCTGCACTTGGAAGGGCCCTGCATGTGGTTTAATGAACTGTGGCTGCTGTATTGAAATCCTTACTTTTGTCTTTTTGTCTTTTTTTTTTCCGTGTCCGGCAACGGATCGCAACCCTCAGTGTTGCCCCCGTACCGGACCGGGGACCAGCAACGGGATTGCAAACCTCGGTGTTGCTCCCGCGCCTCGCTCAGCCAGTGAGGGGGAGCCGGTCGGTATGTGGGATCCGAACCCTCGGGCGGGAGCGCCGCCGTGCTTCCCAAGCGGCGCACTATCCAGTGCGCCACCGGGCCGGCCCCTTGAAATCCTTACTTTTGGAACACAAAGCCCTGCACTTTCATTTGGTGCTGGGCTCCTGCTGAGTAGTCCCTGGGGAACTGGCTGTGGCACACCAGGAGTCTTTGCTGTCCTAGAGTTACAAGCCAAACCCCAGCAGGACCCCACATTTTGGTACTTTTGGTAATTTCAGCAATGATAGCACATTTGGAACAAAGTCAACAATGGAAATATTTTGTACTAAACCTGTGCCATTTCATAGCAAGCTTCCAGGTATTTGTTTTTAAAAATGCAACCTCACTACTGGGAAGAAAGCTTCCTCCCCACTCCTGAGGTTTCTTCTTCCTGTAGAGAATGTAATTAGGGTGATTCTGTCCTCGCTCAGCCCTTTCTCCCTCCATCCAGGGAGGTGAAACACTTTTCAATAGTAAATTTCATAAATTTGGGGACAATGAACTGGACGTGCTCAGCTCCGCTCCCCCTTTCTCCTCTTCCTGTGGTGGGAGAGGAGGGGAGTCCTAGGTGATGAAGTAGGTGAGTCTTTCTAATTCTTGGGTTCAATATTAGGAAACCCATTTGGCTCTCACACTGAGCTGTGCCCTTCAACCAGCCTTATCAGTAACAATGGTGATATTCTGGCTGTCATTCGTTATTCCATAGTCTTACTCCTCAACTTGTTCAGTTCTTGGGTGGGAAGAAGGTTGCTATTTAATGGACATCATCAATGACCCCAACAACCACGAACCCCTGCCATCCACCTTGTGCCTTAGGACAATGCTTAATTAGAACCCCTCACTAAAAGCTTAATTTACTACATGGAAGGGGTATAGGTACCGGACAGAGTCTTAGATTCATTGCATCTCCGAGCTGAAAGGCATCAAGATAACCTACCCAGTTCTTGGGTGGGAAGAAGGTTGCTATTTAATGGACATCATCAATGACCCCAACAACCACAAACCCCTGCCATCCACCTTGTGCCTTAGGACAATGCTTAATTAGAACCCCTCACTAAAAGCTTAATTTACTACATGGAAGGGGTATAGGTACCAGACAGAGTCTTAGATTCATTGCATCTCCGAGCTGAAAGGCATCAAGATAACCTACTCCAAACCTGGTGGTTCAAGAAAAAGAAAATCCAAAGAGGTTCCTGGTACATTGCTTCTCAAACTCCAGTGTGCATCAGAATCATCTGGAAGGCTTGCTAAAACAGATTTAACTCTCAGCCCCATCCCAGAGTTTCAGATTCAGTAGGTCTGGGGGTGGGGACTGAGAATATGCACATCTACCAAGTTCCCAGGTGCTGCTGCTGCTGCTCTGGGAACCCCAGTTTGAGAACCAGTGGCCCAACATAAACGATTTCAGCCTGTTATTACAGAGCAGGAACCAGAGCCCAGCTACCCTGTGCTCTAGCCAAACACCCTTCTCGGTCCATCTTCTTGTCTAATGGTTGCGTCTTCCTCAACCCTGGCTGGAATTCTCTTGGCTGCAGTTTTTATATTTGCTCTTTCGACTTAAGCAGAACTTGCTCTCTTCTCCAAAATAATGTCTACAGTGAGGCTTGAGCTTCCTAGAAAAAAAGGCTTTAACAATACTAAGTATTTCTGGCACTGGTATATGTTATAAGAAACATAAAAAGAGAGTGTGGTAGATTTTTTTGTTTGGGAGTGGGCTGTTTTTGGTGGCAGGCCAGTACAAGGATCAAACCCTGAACCTTGGTGTTTCTGGCACTGGTATATGTTATAAGAAACATAAAAAGAGAGTGTGGTAGATTTTTTTGTTTTGGAGTGGGCTGTTTTTGGTGGCAGGCCAGTACAAGGATCAAACCCTGAACCTTGGTTCTACCAGGGCCACTCTCTAACCAAGTGAGCCTACTGGCCAGCCCTCAGAGTGTGTTTTACAAAGAAAAATAACTACAAGTGAGGATAAATTTAAAGCAAATACAATCATGCCAAAAAACCATTGATCACTGAGGGTTTTTTTGTTCCTTCTGTGATCCATCTATGTCAATGTTTATTTTGCTAAAAAACAAACAAGAAAACTCCTTGTACTTACCCAGAGTATTGGTAGCAAAGTTTTTTTCAAGTCCATCTTCTGTGAGTTCTCTTTCATTGACCATGCAACCTGCATTATTGATCTAGAAATTATAGTTCCCATTTCAAAATAAAGAAAAATAGGGCCAAAGGACCTTTTTCCAAACTCCACACCTCCACGCCACCGCCAACCCTAAGAGCTCTTTCCCAATATTCAAGTGACAGTGACAATTCTCTTCAACTGTTCCTTCACTTTAAACCCCTTCCAGGAAAATGCCAACAAAAGGAAATGTGCAAAGATCTCCAATTCAGAGGGCTTGACTGAGCAACCTAATTCACGAGAAAGTGCTCTGAGAATTTGTTCAGACCAGCACTGTCCACTAGAAATATCTAATTTAAGTTTTCTAGTAGCCACATTAAAAAGGTAAAAAGAAACAGGTAAAATTAATTTTAGTAATATATTTGATTTAGTCAAACATATCCAAAATAGTATCATTTTAACATGTAATCAATGTAGAAAATATTAATGAGATAGCATTTTTTTTCTCACACTAAGTCTTCGAAATCTGATTTTTACTCTTACAGCACATCTCAATTTGGACTAGCTACATTTCAGATGCTCCATAGCCATAATGGACAGTGCAAGTCCAGACCTTGACCCATGCGATACTGTGGAGCACATTGGAAACTCTTTGTGTAGAAAAGCAGCTTAGCTCAAAGTGGAACATCTGGGAAAAGTAGAGTTGGCTCCTTTCCACCTGAGTCCTCCCAGGGTCTCCTTGGACTTTCACGCTGATGAGGTTTCTAAAAGATTTTGCTTGTCTGCAGCAGGGATTCTTTTGGACTAAGCTTTTTATTTTTCCCTGAGCTTCTAATTTCAATATACCAATCCCCAAATCTGTAGGACTCAGAAATATAGATATACATGAAAAATGGAACATACTCATCCTCCCACAATACTTACCCAGTAGACGGCCCCTCCCTTTCCCCACAAACCTAACTAACATGCTGGGTCTCCTCTTGAATCCGATGAGTGAACTTGATTACACTTGATTAAACAGGCCCAACCATAAAGATTCTTACTAAGATTTTCACATGAAGACACAAACATACACATCCATCCACACCCATACAGACGAAAAATGCACAAATATGAGATTTATATTGCATTTATGTTTACAAAGCTCACCAGAACGTGGAGTTTATGTTCCTGCTTGAAATTTTCAACAAATTTCCAGATTTTCTTGGGCTCAGATAAGTCCACAATGTGTAGAAAGATGTTCTAAATCAGAAAGCAAAAAATGTAGTAAATCATTTTTTTAAAAAGATTAGGATTTTTTTTTAATATTAAAAGAATACAGATACATGGTTTTAAAAAGTCAAATACTTTGGAATGATATAAAATGGAAAATAACAGCCCCACTCTTCAGAAGTAAACCATTGTTCACAGTTTCTTATGAATCATCTGGAAATATTTTAAGCATATACTATATATACACACAATATATATGTTTTTAAGCTATATATATACACAGACACATATATTTACATATAAATATTTTTATTTATATATATCCTTTTTCCACACAAATAGGATCAGCTATACATTGTTCTACATCCTTCTTTTTCACTTAACAATGTCTTTTATTTTATTGTAGTAACAACACTTTTTAAAAAACTTTATGTTATTGTGATAAGAACACTTAACATGAGTTCTACCCTTTTAACAAAATGTTAAGGGTACAGTACATTATGTTATTATAGGTACAATGTATGCAGCTGTCTTAGAGATTATACATCTTCCTAAATGAAACTTTATGCCCATCGATTAGTAACTCCCCACTTTCCTCTTCCCCCAGTTCCTGGCAACCACCATTCCGCTCTTTGATCCTATGATTGACTGTTTTAGATACTTCATACTCGTGTAAGAAAGATCATAGTCATTTGTCTTTCTGTGACTGGCTTATTTCACTTAGCATAATGTCCTTAAGGTTCATCTGTATCGTTGCATTTTGCAGAATTTCCTTCTTTTCTAAGGGTGAACAATATTTTATTGTATGTCTATACCATAGTCTCTTTATCTATCTATCTGCTGATGGGCATTTAGGTTGTTTCTACATCTTGGCTATTGTGAACAGTGCTTCAGTGAACTCGGGAGTGCTAATAGCTCTTCAGGATCCTGATTTCAATTCTTTTGGATAAATACCCAGAAGTGTGACTGCTGGAGCATATGATAGTTCTATTTTTACTTTTATAAAGAACCTCCATACTGTTTTCCATAGGAGCTGCACCATTTTGAATTCCCACAGTGTACAAGGGTTCCAATTTCTCCACATCCTCACCAACACTTGTTTTTTGTTTTGTTTTGTTTTTTAGTATAGCCATCCTGAAAAGTCTGAGGTGATATCTCATGGTGGTTTTGATTTGCATTTCCCTGATGACTAGTGACGTTGAGCATTTTTTCATATGTGTGTTGGCTATTCATATGTCTTCTTTGGAGAGATGTCTATTCAAGTCCCTAGTCCATTTTTCAATTGGGTTATTAGTTTTTTTTGCTATTGAGTTGTAGGATTAATAATATGTCTTGGAGATGTTTTCCTTATGCATAAACCTACCCTATTTCTTTTAATGGCTATATAATATACCCTCATGTGTATATGTCACAGTTTCCTGCTGCCAATAATTTAGGGTTTTTCGTGAATATCTTGCTCTTAAGACAATATCTTAGGTACATCATAAATGTAAGATGACAGCATCCTCTGTGACCCTCAATCCTTGCTTATGATGCTTGTCAATCTCTGCCCTGCACTACAGTTATCACTGAACTCAGCTACCTCTCCCAAGAGACTTAGACTCCTCGATGTCTAAAGCCTCTCTTTCCCTTACGGTAAAACACACAGTCATACACATGGTGGATGATTAATGTACACTGGTTGTTTACACCTTTTCCTCTGTACCCAGCGCATGAATCTAAACTCACATTTTAGTGAATGTGAGGATGCTCTCTCTGAGCTTTCGTGGCTGGGTGCGACTTTTCACCAACCCAAAGCAGACATTCCTGAGCACTGAACCTACAGCTGAGGATATGAACCCCAGCCACAGTTCCCTTGATAAAGCAGAGAAGTTCAGTGCCCTGCCTCAGTTTCACCAATGACTGAGCCATAGTTGTGGTCAGAATTTCTTTTTACTGATCTCGAGACATCTTGTTTTCTCACCCTGAGACAAAGGCTCAGAGAATGAGAGAAGAGAAGCAACCCCGCACTTCCATGACTCAGAAAGTCTGCAGTCAGCTTGAATACCAACCTTCAGCTTACGTCTGGCACAGCTGAATATTCCTCTACCTTCAAAGGACAGGAAAAGTATTGTCTGTACAGGACTAGGCTCTGTAAAAATGTCTGTGAAAGCCCTCACCCAGCCAGGGCAGACACAAGGCTGCTGATTCATACCTGGTCACTCATGAGCCTGCACCAGCCACTGCAAACTGAGCATAGACACCAATCCTTGCACTCAGGGCCTTCTCCACAGCCACCCTACACTCCCTCCCACCCAACAGTGCCAGTAGCACCCATACAAAATCCAGGTTAAAAACAACAACAAAATTCAAGTGAACTGAAACTAGTTCTGCTTTGAACATTCCACAAGCCCCTTGAGCACCCAAGGTGTCTCAGAATGAAAAGGAGGTGGCAGCAGGGAAGAGAGAATCGCTGTTCTAGATAAATGAACCATGGAGCCTGGTGACATGAAGCATCATAAAAAAATGAAGGAAATCATTTGTCTCCCTCTGGGACAAAACAGGAAGCCAGGAAGCACCCAGAAGAAGCTGGCAGTCTGCTGTGGCCAGGAGAAAGAACTGGGAGCTGGTACACATGCGTAAAAATCGCAATCTGGGGCCGGCCCGGTGGCGCACTGGAGAGTGCGCCGCTTGGGAGTGCAGCGGCGCTCCCGCCGAGGTTTCGGATCCCATGTGGAGATCGGTTCCCGCTCACTGGCTGAGGGCGGTGCGGGCGCAACACTGAAGGTTGCGATCCCGTTGCCAGTCCCCGGTATGGGCGCAACACCGAGGGTTGCGATCCTGTTACCGGTCAGTAAAAAAGACAAAAAAAAGGAAAAAAAAAAATCGCAATCTGCAGATCCACACAATGAAAAGGCTTGCCCTAGGAGCCCTGTAGATCTACCTATGTAGATCACGCACATGCTCTCTGAAGTAGAAATCACTATGTAGGGGCAAGGTGGTATTTAATATTAACGCTGAGTACACTGGAAGCCAAACCAATCATTTTGAGAAGGTGAAAATCCATGTTGGCCTGGGAGCTGGAGAGTAGAAACCCTTGTCTTTCATCCTGGTGTCTGATGTTGATGGGATTGATCCCCGACAAGACACAAGGCACTTTTTCAGCACCCTGCAGCCACATCAGGGGGATGGCAGGAGTTCAAATGTTGCCCAGGCACCTATGCCCATGGGATCTTTCCCTCTAATACCCATAATTCCAGTTTAATCATGAGAAAGACATCAGAAAAATCTTAATTGAGGGACATTCTACTAAATTCCTGACCAGCACGCCTCAAAACTGTCAAGTCATCAAAAAACTAGGAAGTCTGAAAAACTGTCACAGCCAAGAGGAGCCAAGGAGACATGATGACTAAAAATGTAATCGGATCCAAGATGGGATCCGGGAACAGAAACAAGACATTAGGGAAAAGCTGAGGAAATCTGAATAAAGCATGAAGTTGAAGTTTAGCTGATAATACTGTATCAGTATTGGTTCATTAGTTGTAAAAAATGAACCATGCTAATGTAAGATGTTAACGAAGGGAAAACTGGTGATGGGGTAGAAAGGAACTCTCTATACTGTTTTCACAACTTTTCTGTGCATCTAAAACTATTCTAAAATAAAGTTGTTTTTTTTTAAATGTTGGCCAGGGAGGTAACTGCCAGACAAAAGTTGGGTGCCCTCCTATGCAGGCGGCAAGGCAGCGATGAACTGCAGCCACAAGCTCGAGGAAGCAGGTGCACCCTGGTTTTCTCCCCAGGCCCTTTGAGAGCATCGTGCCAAGTGGACAGGTGAGCAGGGAGTTTGCTCTATAACAAGCATGCCTTTCCCCAAGCTTGGGTCACACACGGCCTCTCCAGAAAGATCACTTGGCACGATATTAACCTGTCCATGCATCCACACACCTGATCTTACCAAGCCAGTATGTACAAGAAGCTCAGATTCCCATGTGACCTTAAGTCCCACCTGGTGCCCAGCTTGCCCGTGCCCACCTGACTCAGCCAGCCGACTGCATACCTCACCCAGACCCTCCTGTCCAAGAAACCTCTGCTCCTCAACGTCCACCCAATCACACAACCAGCGCCAGCCCCTCCACTGTCCTCACTGCTCTACCTCACGCCACTTCTGCTTCTAGGAGCTGGCAGCCTTCCAACTCCTGCTGAGCAGGGCCTGGGGAACCTGAAGTAGAGAATGCAAGGTTGGGAGCTGTAATAATATTAGGATAAACAATAAAGATAATACCAATAATAATAATAACATCTCCTCCTATTGATTGGGAACTATGCATTCTTAGGGTACCCTGAGCATCCCACGTTGTTGCCCTTCTCGTGTTATTTCAGCCAGGGTCTAACGGGAACCTCTTTCAACAGAGGGAACTGGATGTAGGGACTGGTTTCCCAGGTGATGAAGGAAGGTGATAGCTGAAGGAGACTGGTGAAGTAACACAGAGATAGTAACAACAGGAAGCTACTACCAGCCCTAGGCTCAAGGAACAAAGGGAGAACACAGTGGGACCTGAGTTCAGGAACCAGAGGAAGAACCAGAGAGGAGATTCAGTCATCACCAGGGAAGCCAATATCCTGGTTTCCTCCTTCCTCCCACCTACCAATCTTCCTCCCATACTTGCCATTGGCCAAACCCAGCTGGTGTAGCTGGATGGTGCAGGAGCTGGAGAAACACATACCTGAGAGTCCCCAACACAGCCCCACTGGGATGCAGAGCAGGCAGGCCCAGGGCAGGAATATACGCACCAGAGGAATTGCTTGTTAATCTACATCCCACACGAGACCATAAGGGGCTGTGACTGTCTTAATCGCCTGTGTGGCTCCAGCTCCTAGTACACTGCCCTACATAGGGTTCACACTCAAATCTGTGTTAGAAACTGAATAAAGTAATACTGCCCCTTGTTTTTGATGAGGAAACTACGGTGTGGGGACGCCCAAGCTCACGTGGCTCGACAGTACAGAAGCAGGATTCAGATCCGAGCCCAGCCCCTTCCTATACCACGCTGTGTGTGTGCGGGCTCCTGTGAATGGCAGACCAGATGAAGCTGTGCAGGGGCCTCTTTGCCAACAGGGAGGAGACACTGAGTCAGGGAAACCACACACACAGGTATAAGCAGAGGGGCACTGTCAGCCCTGCACCCTCTGGGCTCTGAGTGCCAGAAGCCACCGATGAACACAAAGGAGGAGTGGCTTTCCTGTGTCTGTTCAGATCCCGTCGCGTGTGTGTGTGTGTGTGTGTGTGTGTGTGTCTGTGTGTGTGTGTGTGTGTGTGTGTGTGATAGTGAAAGCCGCAGGCAAGGGACGCCCTCTCTCCCCACCCCAGGAACATGCTCGCTGCCCTCTCAGCTCTGTATCCCTCCCCACGATGGCAGAATTAGATATAAGGATGGTCCCATATTATACACAGAATCATACTGTTATCTTTTTCCATATAAATCCACTTTTTAAAAAATGTGGCCCAAACCACAGCAGGCTGGAATCCAGGCAAACCTCTTCCTGCCCGAGGCCTGAGATTAGTATTCTTGTTGCATCCTGTAGCAGCACAACTGGAAGTTATCAGCAGGCAGACAGCCAGCTTAAAGTCTCAAGAACTGCAGCCCGTGGATCGCAGCGGCACTTGCAGACATTAGAGTTAGATTTAGAGACCCTCACGCTCGCCGCCAGCACTAAGCCTCTCTAAGGCATCTGATGGGGTGAGATTGGTGATGTCTGAGAGCAGGGGAAAGGAACAGCAACTTGCTTTGGAAATGCTATTTCAAAGCTGATGCAAAATATTCCATTCTGGACTGGGGCATTTTTTTCTTTGGCCATGGTTCAAAGTGGCAGTTGGGGGACAGGGATGCTGCCTGTCCCTTCCCAGCCCCCTCCCACAGGCTTCCCAGTTGTAGGGTCTGCTGGAGAAGGAGGCTTAACAGGAGAGAGGTGGGAATGGAATGAGGATGTTCCTCAGTGACAGTGAGCGGCCGTGGTGACTGAGGGTCATCTGCAGTGGGGGTCAGGGCTCTCCATCCAGGTCCAGCCTCACGGGTGACCGGCCTGTGCAGTTGCAGAGGCGATGCATTCAGAAGTGCCCCAACCTTGCTTCAAAGCTCTGCCTTCACCGTCTTGGAATTCTTAATAACTTTTACACCAGGGTCCCACATTTTCAGTTGCACTGAGGCCCAAAATTATATAGCCAGACCTGGTTTTGACTCTCTCAGAATTGGAAGACCACAAAAGGTAAGCTGGTCTGAAAGCGCATTAGAAAGTGGCTCTCATCAAGACCAAAATGCTGGGGATTGTTCCTCTTTACTGGAAGGCCACTGGGTCAATGTACAGCTGGGTGGCAACTGAGTCACCCTTGATGTGTCTGACATGGGCTCCCGGTGGGAGAGAAAACCTGGCAGTGCCACTGCCCAGTGTACTGTCCCCACAGCAAGGATTGGCTCCTGCCTGCTGGCTTCACAGCATCCCAGGGCCATGGGGCGGAACCTCAGTGCCCCACTTACCCTGGGTCAAACCCAGCACTCAAAAGCAGGTCTCCAGCTCTCTTGACTGAAGCTGCTTCCAAAGCAGAAGCACAAACACAGGCCATTGCCAGCCCAGAGGACATGGGCAGGAGTCCAGCCCAGCCTCGCAGTTGACCACAGAAGCCAGAAGCCCCAGCAGGAGGGACAAAGAGCAGCTCACCTGGTTACCGCTCTCCCTGATGATCTCCCCTTTGGCACCTGCAGCTCGTTCTGGATCTCGACAAGCCAGGTGAACTGTGCCACCTGGTGGAATTCAACGAAACCATCTGTGAGTTACAGCCAAAGTTATGGAAACCAGCTTTTCCAAATGAAAAGTTAAGGCATGTGGGCTCACAAAAAGAATACCTGAAACAGACTATTCTCTTAAATCTAGGTGGATGGTCCCCACAATTAGAGTGGCGAGGGTAATAGTGAGAATGATACTGGAACTTTCTCTCTTGCCCATCTGGGATGACTGACTGTGCATCTGGAATGATGTCCTATTTTTTTTTAAGGGTCTGAACACATCAAGGATAAGAAATGTGCCTCTTGGCCACACCTGCATCCCTAGTATTTAGCACAGCACCTGACACCAGTCTCAGCCCTGGCTGCACTGTACTCACCTGGGGAGTTTAAAGATCCAGATGATGGGCCCAGGCCTGGGTGTTTTAAAAGCTCCCCAGGTGATCTAATGTTCAAAGTTGAGAACCACTGGCCTAACAGGTAGTAGGGACTCACTAAGTATTGAATGTTGAATCCACAAATGGCACTCACAGTATTCCAGCAAATGCCATGCCACAATTAATCAAGGTTCATTTAAAGGGGATGCCCTGGCCACAGCAGTTAAAAGCAATCATTATGGAGTCTGCCTTCTTCACTAAAAATAACCCACTTTATTAAAAGGAGTCTGCTTCAAGGGAGGCTACAGACTAACCACGAAACCAGCCCCTCTCCTTCCTCCTCTGAACAACACAACAGAGGGATTCCAGTCACTAAGATGCAGTTTATCCTCTCCCTGACTCGGCAGATAATTAAATAAAGCTCCAAATGACATAATATTCTCCTGGAAAATGCTTAACTTGGTTTTAGAGGGGAAAAAAAGGAAACATCTTCAGTATCTTAAAAAGTGATAAATTCCCAAGCTATTCCCCAGACTTCCGGAACATCAATTTTTCCTGGACAAGAGGTCTGGAGACAGGCAGCAAACTTTCCCAGTCACCACAGTCCATTTGGTGACCCGGGACAGTTGAGTTTATGCAGGAAATTCTGGCTTTTGCCCTGCAGAAAACTTCTGCTGACTGAATGTTTATGGGGCACCTGGAGAGCCTCCTTATGGCTGAGTTTAGGGAAGGGGAGAAGTAACCCTGGAGTTCAGACACCAGCAAAGAGGAAGTTCAGTGCAGTCCCCTCTCCAGTTATTTTGGGGGCACTGGCTCTTAACTGGGGCCCACAACCAAATTGTGGTGGACTCCCCCCAACTCCCCAAGAGACTCATGGAGAAGACATGAGGTAGAGACGAGTTCTCCATGGTTTGGTTTGGTTTTTTAAGTTCCACCAGTGACGACCAGGGTTGGCTTGAGTCCTGAACTGCTCTTAATCAGAAAACACTGTGACATGTGGGCAGGACACAGGCTCTCCTGTTGAGGAAAGGACCCCAGTCACTTCTCTATCCACCTCCAGCTTGAAGCTCAACACAGCTCAGAAAGCTGCAGCTGTGCCCATCACCATAGGGTCACTGTCTGGGACTTCCTGACCTGCTTGTGACACAGGGCACTCTCCCCAGGGCTGACCAGCTGCAGGCTGGTCACAGGGCTCAGCGGACATGTGGGTTAGCAGGCTGCTCACCTCGCTTGGCTATTTCAATGGCAGTTGCTTTTCCAATGCCACTGTTCCCTCCGGTGACCAAGAAGGCTCTTCCAGGAACTTGGACTTCCAAGTCATCAGGGACAAAGTCCTTAGATGCAGATTCATAGCCACTCCTGGAAACAGCAGACCCACGGAAAGAATGGCTGTAAGGAGCTGGGAACACAAACCCCTGCAAGGAGAAAGCCTGATTCTAGGTGGGCATTACTGCTCACTCCGCCTCTTCCGACACATCCCACAACTCCAGCCTCCCTCGGCCCCGGCTTCCCTCCATGGTTTCACAAACACCATCTTCTAAGGAGCAATATTTCCTGGACAATTATTTTCTTGAACTTTTGAAAATGTGTAGATGCCAACAGTCTGGATCCAAACTATCTTTCTCTGACTGCCTCTAATGCTGGGAAGTTGCCAAAAAAAAAACCCCAAACCTTTGATAGACAGATTGCTTTTTTCCCATTTTGGGAGGGAAAGCTTAGGAGACCATTAGCATCATGCTTATGGCATCTCAGGACAGGGATCCCTACCTAGCTGAAGAAGGGGGGAAGATTTGCAAGTAAGGAATAGAGGAGGAGGAAGGTGGAGGTATTTGAGCTCTGCACCCACGCAGGAAGCCAAGACTCCTTCAGGGCCACATGGTGTGTGCTGCACCCCTCTAGGGGTACCATCAGATCACAGTGATGAGAAACTTGTATCTGCATTATGACAATTTTCTGGCAGATGACCTCAAAGCCTATTGAGGAGGAGGTGCTTTTTCTAATTTGCACAAAGGCATCATATCGAATGGAGGCAACCCTGAGTTCCCTCATTGTTTCTCCCCTTCCTTTTGAGAGACCTCTCCTACCTTTAGTTTCCTGGTATTTCCTGGTTATGAAATTGGCTGAGGGCAGTGGAGGCAGAATGGGGGGATGGCACAAGGCAGCCCTGAGGGCAGACTCCCTACATGCAGGCAGGCTGGGGTCTCAGAGCTTGCATCCCTCACCCACAGAGCCAAGTGACTTCTCCCCTGCTATACAGAACTGGACTCTAACCTGACGCTTCCACCAGAGGCCCACAACCCTCCCACATGCTGTGTTTATGCACAGACTTCCAACAGCTGGTCTCCTACCCCACGCCCTGGATACTGGGGAAGAAGCCAAAGGATGTTTATGAGCTTGGATTCGGTTTGGAAGTCATTGCCACAGGGCAGGCATCACTTCTTGTCTCAGACAAGCCAGATTTAAGAGAACAAGAAGAATGATCCTGTTCCCACCATCTGTAGCGTCCAGGGAGAATGTCAGAGAATGTCCTACCCACTGCTTCTGCTGTGAGTGGCCCAGTTAGGGGGCAAGCAAGACTTCTTGTTTCAAAGCCTTCCTGAAAGGTCGACTGGAAACTAAAAATAGTATCAATAACAAGGGCTTGGATTGAACTACCTGGGTTTAAATCACAGCTCTGCCTCTTAATAGCTGTGTGACTTTGTGGGTTGACATAACCTTCCTGAGCTCCTGTCTCCTCATCTGCAGAAAGAGGATAAGAGCCTCCTCTTGGGCAGCCTAAATGAGATCACGTGTGTTAAGGCATTTATCACAGCACTTGGAGCACAGTAAGAGCTCAATAAATAGCAGTTGCTGTTATTATGACAATACCTTCTATGTTCAAACTTGAACTCATTTGCCACCTCCTCTGCCCCTTCAAATCAGTCGGGACCTTGAGAGCATTTTGAACAGTAAACACAGATAAAGCTGTGAGTTTTTCCTCCTACAAGTGGAGGTGTGTCCTGGGATCACTGTGAAAGGATTTTCTGGCAGAGGCCAGGGGTTCCTCAGAAAGAGCAAAGGACCCTGAATCAGTGAACAGGGGCCTAGCTAGGAAAAGGCACTGTGGGGGGTGGGTGAGAACTTCCCAAGCCACAGCAGAGGCAGAAAAAGAGCAGGCCATGGGAGCACGCGGGATACTGACCTAGAGGATCCCCTTCCTCCAGGGGCAGGAAGCTGAGAAGCTTTTCTATGGGACACCTACTAGAGGAGACATTAGCCTCAGGGCTACCACGTTTATTCTTTATCCGTATTAGAGACTAATGTTTGCTGAGGGCGGCCTGTGGATTAAACCTCTTCTTCAAATTCTGGGTCACAGCGTTGCCGAGTGGTGGTGCCAGGCTGGCCGGCAGGACATGTCCTACCCTCCCCTTGTCCTCTGCTACACTTGAATTCCATCCTGGTCCAATCCGTTGTCAGTAATAAGACTTGGTTCTTATGTATCCTCCTGTCCCTTTTAGGGAGGCATTTTATCTTCACATACTCTTGACAGTGGTCTCTTTCAAATGGAGAGACATTAGTGGCTTGTCTAAAGTCACAAGATGGTAGGTGACAAACCCAAAGGATGTGTTCCATTCTTCAACACCCCTCATAGGTATTCAAATGATGGTCCCAGACAAGCAGCATCAGCATCACCTGGAAACTTGTTAGAAACGCCTTTTCTGCCTACTGAGTCAGACACTTCTGGTGGGGCCTGAAATCTGTGGTCTCACACACCCTCCAGGTGATTTTGATTCAAGCCCACGGAACAGTTGTATTTAGTATTTCCTGAACCCCAGATGATAGGAATTGCCAGGGGGCAAGCTCACAGGCATCCCCCACCCCCGTCCCCACCTACCCTAATATGGTATTTACTTAGGTCCCACTGGCACCTTCCAGGGGATTAGGAATCTTTTTATTATTATTTTTATTTTTATTTTTAAAGATGACCGGTAAGGGGATCTTAACCCTTGACTTGGTGTTGTCAGCCCCACGCTCTCCCAAGTGAGCCAACCGGCCATCCCTATATAGGATCCAAACCCACAGCCTTGGTGTTATCAGCACCACACTCCCAAGTGAGCCACAGGCCAGCCCAGGAATCTTTTTAAAACTGCCCCAGAAAATTATTAGGTTCAGGCAAGTTTAGCAAACCAGGACTAGATCCTGCTGCCTAGGGGCCCAATATAGGGAGGCTTTATAAAAATACTCGTGTGCCAAGAAAATCACTGTAAACTACATACTGGCTCTCACACCGAAATCAAAATAAGGTTGTTGTCTTTCCCTCCTATTCACTAAATGCAACAGCAGGGACACAGCCTAAGTTTGTCACTCCCCACACACAATTTGCCATAGTCTGGGTCCCTTGGCTTGACTTCTACCTTCCCTTAAGGTGGGGAAATGAGGGTGTCAGAGTCCAGGAGAGATTTTTACAAGCCTGCTTTCCCCGGGGCCCGCCTCGGGGTTGGAAGCTGACTCAAGCATTCATGCTACATTCTGCTTAACATGGAAAAATCCAGTAAATAGTGGCCACTGCCAGAGCACACACCCTTTTGAAAGAAAGAGGCCGCCACTGTATTCGCCTAAATTCAGTGGAACAGGGCTGAGAAACCACCGGGAGGCGGGCTCAGCCACACCTCCCGCCATTCCCTGAAGCAGGTCCCTGAGCAGGGTCTGAACTTCTTCCGTAAGGATGTGGGGTGAAGAGAAGGGAGCAGTCTGTCCCAGTTCTGCCTGTGCGCTGGTATGATGGGAATCTGGCCAGGCAGCCTCACGAACTGAGGAAGGAGAGGCAGGCTCTCAGGAGAGAGAATCCTCTGCGGGATTGTAATAACATGCCGGTCTAGGCCCATTGAATCGGAATCTCTAGGGCTGGGGACTGAAACTGGTATTTTTATTCTCCCCCGGTGATTCTGATCTGCAGACAGGGTGGAGAACCTCTGGTTCTACTAATTAATTCTCAGGTAAAAACCTCCATCTCTTCTCCGCCGGAATCTGTCACCCTTAAAATCACAATGAGGTGGAGAGCCGACCAGGGCACATGAGCGTGATGGCAAGGCGGGAGAAGCCATCACGCACCATTCATCAGGCGCACACTGTGAGCACAGCCGACCTGGCCCGGGAACCCTGCTCGTTAAGTTCCAGCTGGAGCGAGAGGTCGCAGTCCACGTGCCGCATCGTCATCGTGGGAAAAAACACACAGTAAAGCGCTAAGACGGAGTCGAGGCGAGCTATTTAGGACTAGCCCTGACTGACGTCGCAAGCAGCCCGGCGAAGACACTTCCCGCAGCGTGCCGCGTAGGGCTCACAGGTAACGTCCTGGGGGCTCGGAAGCGCCAGAGCCGCCGGGCGCGGCGAGCCCCGCCCCCAGGCGCCAGCCCCACCTCCTCGGGCGCCAGCCAGCCCCGCCCCCGGACACCACCCCCGCCCCTCA